TGCCCTCCCCCCCCCCCCCCCCTCAGCATGCAGGTGATTGCTCCTGCTATCTTCCACATCACTACAGGATAAAGTAGAGATGTGGAGGTCGGTGGGAGGAACCACGGAATTCTTCAGGGGATTAAGATTCCTGAAGGTGTCTCAGTACACTTCAGGGAAGGCTTCTTCTTAAATATTGAGGCATTTTGCAACACAGGCAGCCATATAGGTAGATGTTTATGCTCTTTTTTTTACAGGTGCTTGGCTTTAAGTGCCAAATCATTACAATGCTCTTAAGTGGTAGAAATAAATCAAATATGTAGCAGTTCAGTCATAGTCTTGTTTCACTGCACTTACTCACGTATCTATTTTTTTTTTTTTAAATGTTATTGGCTTTTTCACTGAACAGCTAAAATGTCTTTCTCAAATTGTACTCCTCCAAGTATCTAAGATTTCAGATGAATAGATGGGCTGAAAATAAAAAAACATTCATGTATAGCCTGTGTTTTTCTGCTGAAATCGATGGACACGTAAATATTGTTCTATCCTCAGCCCTCAGATAGGCAAACATGGAATAGACAGCATGCTCTACCTATTAAGGGCAGCCAGCTTTCTGCCACTGAAATACAACTTAATTTATATCCCAATCAGACTGACTGAGGGTTTCGTACTGGTATTTGTTTTGTGCCTTACAAAAAGAAGCACTTTAAAGCTACCCATACACAGTTAGATTTCAGCTGCAGGCTGAATAAGAGACAAACAGTATATTCATGCTAAACATTGTGAATAATGGAATCTCTACCTGTGGCTGCCTTAATGTGTAAGTAGGTCTGACATTTAAAGCATGCTTATGCTAGGTCTACGATTCAAAACTACCAATGGATCAAACAGCCGGGTAACTATCATTTTCAGAAGGTTACCAGCAACGATAGCCCTCATACTTCTCTCATGATATAGTAGGTTTATAGAAGGTTTTCATTAAAAAGGAAGGTACTTTTTTTGTTCCTGCTTGTAGCAGAACATCTCTTTTTAGTTGGGTGCTCTATTAGCAAAATCGCAATTTTCATTCCACTCCATCACAATCATTCTTGAGAACATCATAAATACTTTTTTATTCCACAGAAAGGGATTCTTCATTAAAAAATTTAGATGAATGAAGGTCATATTATATGACCATTAGAGTTGAAAATTTAGCTTAAAATGATTTAGTTGATATAATAAAAAACAAAGTTACCCTGTAAAAGAATACTTACCGGTCCCACCACCTCCATTCTTCATTTTCTTGAAGAGCTACAGTGGTTGAAGAATTTTAAGCATCTGATATACTTCCAGGTGTGTTGGATACCTGGTCCCCCACTGAGCACTGTGGTTTGATCTGCAGGCACCAACACTTTTGAAAATGTCAGATGCTAAATATCCTTTGGGCACCATAGCTCTTCAAGAGAGTGAAGTGGAAGTTAAGCATGAATTCTTTTTTTGCACAGAGTCTCTAGTTTCAAGCATTTATTCTAGCAGAGTTAGCGGTTTTGTTCTTGACCACCTAAGAATATAATGTACTGGGCATTGGTTGCAGTAACAGGAGATTACTGGTGTGAATGCAGTTTAATGTAAACACTTTTAACAAGAGATCTCTTTTTAATTTTTTCAGTCAACAAGCACAAACCTTGGATTGAGACCTCATACCATGGAGTTATCACTGAAAACAATGACACAGTTATACTGGATCCACCTCTCGTCGCATTGGACAAGGATGCCCCAGTTCCGTTTGCAGGTAGGGTGATGCACGATTATGTAATTTTGTATGTTTGGGTTGTCATTTTAACAGTCAAACATTTAAGGTCTATATGATGTGCTGTTTAAAGTTGAGGTGTTGTATTGATTTCCCAAATAGTTTTATTCATGATATTCTGCCATTATAATTCCAAATGTTAATATTTAAAATACCTTTTCCCATACATAACCACACCACATTACTCTTTTACTATATTATTAAATAAAGTTATTTACTTTAAAGTGAACTTATGAACCATTTTAAACCTTTAAAAGTAAAAGATCTTTGTAGGACCAAGATGCCCGTTATTACTGCTGTTAACAAAAACACCCTCCCTAATGTACCTCTTTGAAAGTAAGTGAGTATCCTTATTGGCCATTGGGGCATTCTCATTGGACAGATGGATTGCAGTTTGTAAGGGTTCACAGGGTAGTCAAGTCATGGTAAAAAAAAAGTTGAACTAGTCATACAGAGGCAGGAGTTCTCTCTAATTAAAGTTCTACCCGGCATTTTGTGTTGTCTGCCATTGGGAAAAGGCTTTCACTTTTAAACATTAAAGATGTATGTCAGGTTAACTTAAATTCTTCTTCAGATTAGTATTACAAGTGTTCTCCCTTGATAAATGAAAAATGTGTTAAGTTTTGTAATGTTACATATGCTTCTGTATTTTTTACTAAACACATTGGAATTTCTACTCCAAGTAAAATGTTGTCATTATGTAGCTAAGTTGCTTCTGTGATTACCATAGTCTATAATGATAATATATAGGGAGATTCAATTTATTTGAAAAAACATCTGCTGGCCTTGTTTACAAGATGGCATTCATGCAGTCATGACCATTGTGCCCATGGAGCTTGTTTAGTTATCTAATACTCATGTATATGTTTTTAATGCTTTCGGAGGACTGTACTCAGAGGCTGAACTTCAAGGATTCCTGCATTATCCATTAATAACATGTCTAAATGACACCTCTTCTAGATGAGGTTCAGCAAACTTGTTGACATGCCTCACATAGTCACTATGTTCACACAGTAGATTTTTTTGTGCAGGTCACAGCAACAACATTGTTATGAGCAAGGCAGATGTCCTATCAAGGCTGTAGTGGTGGATATACTATTTTACCTCTCTCCCTGGCACTCTGAAAGTCTCCATATTACAAGAACTTGTTCAACACTTAGCACATTTGGAAGCTTTCTGCAAAAACATCCAGCAGCTGTTGATCTCATAAAATGGCAATATGTGACGTCTGTTTCATCCCGCCTGCACAACCTGGGCACTAATGCAGATGTGATATGGTAATGGACTTCAGGATACATTAGTTTTCAACTGGTAGTTATATGTGTAATGGATCGAAGGAAAAATAAAGCTGTGTTCATAATTGGAAGCTCTTTTGCTGAGAACGAGGATTTAAAATATCCAACTTTTAACTATTGTCCTTTTCAACCTGCCATCTGCTGGAAACGCATATTCAAGAAATAAAAATGATTAATGTACACGTGCATTAAAAAAAACTGATATCTTCCTTTTAACATATTGATAACTTTCAAATCATGCAGCATTTAATGTCTTTCTGACAGTGAATGTTTTATCTCTAATGGGACTATATATAGCTAGATGCTGTTGGAAAAATAAGTTTGATTTGAAGATGATGCTGTCTGATCTGGCCAAGCGCGAATATGGATACTTCTTTTTTTTTGGGGGGGTTGGGGTTGGGGTTGGTGAGAGTGTAAAATTAAAATTATACATATTGAGTTCTTGCAATCTTTATTTGCCAGATTCATGAATGGATCAAAACCTCAGCAAATGTTCTGTCCTAACAAAATATTTTCTTCAGCAACCTGATAGTCAGAAGTAATATTTATGGATAAGGATGTTCTGATATAAAATATTTCACGTTATCGTTTAATCATTCTACCATTTTGGCCTAGAACACTAAGGGGTCTATTCATAAAGCTGCCGAAGGATCTAGCTGTAGCTTCGGCTGATCCTTCGGCTAGCTTCGGCCCCAGGACCCCTTTGGTTCAGTAGAACCAAAGGGCTGCTGTACGGGCTATTCATTATAGCCCGTACAGCTCCTGAAGTTGGCCGAGCGCCTCAGTCGAGCCGAAGGCCTATGCCTTGGCTCGACTGAGCCAAGGTGAAATCCAAAGCTGGCCGAACGGCCGGCCATATGCCGGCCAACAGCTTTTTACTCACAGCTGGGCGGAGCCAGCCATCATCTCACGGCTGGCTCCGGCCGCTTGCAGAGACAGATCAGCGTCCCCTGGGTACCAGGTAACCAGGGACGCTGATCTGTCATTACCAAACATCCCAACCCCCCTTGAGTCTCCCACTATTAGATAGCTGCTCCCGGCCACCCGGGAGAGAAACACTTTATCCCGGAAAGGTTTACTCTGCTCTGTTGTTTTTTTTTTCTTCTGACATCGGAGCCACCGGCCGTCAGAAAAAAAAACAGCATAGGAATGCATAGCTACATTCCTATTGGCTATCTCACTTTGCAATAGCCAATAGCAAACTAGCTCGGTAACAAGGGGACGCTGATCTGTCAGTACCATGAGAACTCAGAAGAGTCGGCTTTCATATCACCTCCGGCTCTGCTAATTGTTTTCTATTTTCGTTTTCTACTTTTTTAAACTGTTTTTCCTATTCTGCTCGTGACCACAGAGGTACCGAGCAGAATAGCCAAGCCGAATGCCGCTCGGCTATTCACTCACTGCTGTTTGGCCTCAATGAGAATAGGCCGAACAGCAGCAAGTAGCCTGCCGGTGGTTCGACTCAGCCGATCCAGATGTCGGTTCAGCTGAATCGAACTCCTTCTGCACTTCTGACTTCCTTGCACCTGAACCCAGCCGCAGCAAGCCGATGTACGGCTGATTTCAGTTGGTTTATGGTTGAAATCAGCCGTACAAGCCTGAAGTGATAAGCCGAACAATGATCGGCTCACTTCAGGTCGGTTATTCACACGGCTGCCTTCGGCAGCTTTGTGAATAACCCCCTAAGGTTAAGAGTTAAAGTGTATGCAAAGTCCAAACCTTTTTTTTTGAGTTTTGGATTGAGTATCGAATGGTAACAACCATTGTCAGGAGTTTTATTGATTGATTTTCACTGGGGAGATTTACCCTCTCTATTTGTACTGGTGACCATAATCTTTGGTACAGAAAGTGATAGGAAATCAAACATTTTCGAGTTGTCACAAGAACAGGTGAGAAGAAGTTTTGCAATGGGCAAACCTGTTGTGGTGATATCCCCCTGCTTTAGAGAAATAATCTCTTATTCCCTGCTGTGTCTCTTGGAGAGGAAGTTAATGGAAATCTCCCTAAAGGAACAGAGTCAGAAAAAATAACTGACACGAGTCTTAACCATTTCCTACGCTATCCAGAACAACATTTTTTTTCTTTACATACACTTTAAAGCAGCTTCATTGGACCTCAAGTCGTCTGATTTATAAGCATTCTTCTCTCTTGTCATCTTACCTTGGTATCTTGGTGGTAAGAAGTTTTCTGTCTTCTGTATGTCATTCTGAGCCAGCTTCAAATCCTAACCCTTATTATACTATTATTATTATCATCATCAACACCTGCGTCAGAAATATAATATATTTTAATACTAGACAGAAAATGATGAGCTTTGTACAAATTTCCTCTCCTCAAAGGTGTAACTACAACCAATTTTGTAAATGATTGATGTTTGACATTTTATGAACACTTTTCACCCCTTTTGATACACCTCCTCTTCCTGTTCAATTAGTACTTGCTTTAATTTAGAGAAAAACTTTGAGCCACTACAATTGTTTCTTTTACTTAAGTAGTGCCAATTACATCTGGTGGAAACTAAGATGAAGGAGAGACATTTGCTGAGAGGATGAATATTTGGAAGTTAAGAGAACAAAAACTGAATGACAACTTGGCTCAAAGTTATAGGGGGTGATTTACTAACCTAAACACACACACACACCAGGTGTGTGTGATTTTCACACAGCAAAACGTATTTATCAACCAAAAAGTCTCTAAAAGCATATTTCCACTAATGCCATATTTGGAAAAATCATGCACATGATGCATATATAATGCTGCTTCACAGTTTAGACAAAAATGGTTGGCTCATTCATTTACATTCCTTGCATTCATCAATGCAAGCAACACAACATAGAGCTAATTTACCCAACATCACCTTGGAATTCCTTCAGGGCTTTGCACAACACACCTGCTGGGTGTGTACACATTACAAAGGTGTTTAGATTAAACCCATAGATCATGCTGGGAGGGAACACACTGCAGAGGTGTATACACGTTCGTGGTGTGTTTATAAGGTTAGTAAATCAACCCCATAGTGTCAGATTAATTATCCTGCTGCAGCACCAAAGTTGCTTTCCAATCAGCAATATTATCTACTGGTTGGGATCTGCCTGCTGCTTCTTTCAGACAAGTTCATAAACTGCAACAATTTCTTACTGCTATTGGTGATAAGCTTGCAAATTTTGGCCTCAACCATTTCTTATGTCAATATTTTAATTGTTAGTGGAAGTATCTCTCAAGTGCTGTTTATTTCTGCTAATTACATACTTCAAGGTAATTTTTTTCTTTTGCATAGCTTATTCCTTCTAAAAAATTACCACAAAAGTGTCCTAGACTATCTTGCTTGAATTAATTGAAATTCTTAAGCTTACTGTCTGACCAACATAAGGACCTAAAAGTCAGACAAATATTGTGCATACATGTGAAAGAGATTATTTTGCCTTTGTGACACCACAACTTTGAGAAAAATGGAAGATTGGTTTGTCAACATTTGTCAATCATCAACAGCAGTAAACTAACATTTTGCTATTTTATATTAAATATGTTTAGTTGTTTAGTGTCTGTATGTAGTGGCTAAATTAGCTTTATTTTTGGGGGGCCTTTTTTCCTTTAATTTCACCAGGCCATCTGGCCATTAGTAACACACTTCCTGACTTAGGGTGGCTCCACTCTATGCAGAAGCAATAGAGCTTTGACAGAAGCATT